TAGGCTGAGGAGCCTGACGCCGAGAGAGGCTCGAAAGGAAAAGACCAGAAATCGGGCCTTCTCGACGGTGGCTCCTTGCCTTTGGAATAACTTACCTCCTGAGATTCGCGCGGCTCCCTCGCTGGGCATTTTTAAGAAACAATTAAAAACACTGATGTATAGGCAGGCCTTCCCAACAGATAACCCCTGACGATCTTTTTCTTTTTATACTTTCTTTGATCTCTATCTTTCCTAACCTGTAATGTTTTAAAATTTTTATTGTTGAGCTTATTGTAAGCCGCCTAGAGTGGTCTAGTATGACCAGATAGGTGGGACAGAAATAAAATAAAATAAATAAATAAATAAATAAGATAATATACAGTACATCCCATTTTCCACAACGGTTTCCCTCATTCAAAAAAACTGCCATGGATTCTGCCCATGCTGTAACACTCTTGCCTTAACACAATTACATGGATGGACACAGGCCTATAGAAGGAAAAGCTAAGCTAATCCATTGCAAGGCCTTCTTAGAACTTTCCCAGTGTCTTTGGTTTTTAATACAAATTAAGCAGGTTTAATGTCAAGCATCAGAAATTAGATGGCAAAAGTCAGAACAATTACTTCTCAAGAAGTCTCTGAATTGCTAGAAAAAGTCATCATATCAAAAACAAATACAGACACACACACAAGCCAAATATCTTGGCTATGAACTACCATTTAATTCTGATATAGTCTCAAATATTACAACAGTGAAATCTTCCACATCTTCTAATGCTCATTCTACAAGGAAAATGTCATAAAATCCATTATTAAAGAACGCAATAATCATTATTTTCTTTTTTAGGTCTGACTTACTGTGAAAATTAACTTGGAAAACATGATTACATAAATACACATGCAAAGGTGGTCCTTATTGCCTGTTACTATGCCTTTATTAAAACAAGGGCCTAAATGAGACAACACAATAACTGAGGGATTCACAGGAACCCTAGTTTGTTGGTTATAAAGCAGTGTACCAGTTGTTCCCTCTCAGTTGTTTCACATGCGACAGAAGCAGCTGCCGTATTTGCCGGCGTACAAGGCGACCAGCTGTATAAGACGACCACCCCAGCAGGAAGAGCCTGGGCAGGTGGAGGCAGGAGGAGGAAGAGGAAGAGGGAAAGCGGGGGGTGGCGGGCGAGCGAGCGTGCTGGCTCAGCAGCAGGAGGTGAGGAAGAGGGCAAGAGGCTGAGCGGGCGGCGGGAGGGGGAGGAGGAGGAAGAAGAGGGGAAACGGGTGGGTGGCGGGCAAGCAAGCGCACCACTGGCTCAGCGACGCGGGGCAGCAGGCAGCCCAGCAGCAGGCTCTGGCCGAGGCTGAGGAAGAGGGCAAGAGGCTGAGCGGGCGGCGGCAGGAGGAGGAGGAGAAGGAGGAAAAGGGCGGGCGGAGGGCAAGCAAGCGCACCACTGACTCAGCGACGTGGGGCGGCAGTCAGCTCGGCAGCGGGCTCTGGCCGCTCAGGCATGGCAGGCTGTGCTTCCCTCCCTCCAGACCAACTGCCTGCCTGCCTGCCCGCCTGCCTTCCTCCCCGACCAGCGCCGCCCCGCGTCACTCACTCAACAGCGGTGGCGGCGGCTCCTTCCTGTCCCAAATGAAGTGCACCCAGGGTACCTGACAACCCCCCCACTTGGAGGCATGTTTTTTGGGCCCAAAAAGTCATCTTGTACGCCGGCATATACGGTTTATGAAGTGAAACTCTATAATTTGCTTAGTATATTATTCAAACATGAATACAACTTTCTCTCAAGCTTGTTTCTCCTCAAAAAAATGAGGAAAACACACCTAAAACAGATCTAAATTCTTATTTTGGTATGTTGAAGGAAAAACAAATCAGCAAAAGATTTACACTCATATTCAGAGGAATAGAATAGGCATCCTTCAGTCTCGAGAGACTATGGTATCGTGCTCTACATGGAGGACTTGGAACAGCGCCTAGTGTGGCTGAGAAGACCAATTCAAGAGTGACAATCCCTTCCACACTGAAGACAAATACAACCTGTCTTCAGTGTGGCTCCCTGATTTTGGTGCTTTCAGGACTGTCTCTTTGCCTCGGCCTGCTGGACAAGGGTCTCTTCAAATTGGGAGAGGCCATGATGCACTGCCTGCCTCCAGGCTGAACACCCAGATGTCAAAGTGTCCCATCTGTTAAGATCCAATGCAATTTAAAGATTAAGAAAGGAGAGTTGAAAAAGAATAATTTTTACAAAATATGGGGCAAATTTTTGGAATATGCGCGAATAAGGGGGAAAAAGAAGAAGAAGAGGAGGAGGAGGGGGAGGAGGAAGAGGAAGAGGAGGAACAGGAAGAAGAAGAAGACGACAACGATGATGACACCGGCAAAAGGTCCCGTATATGGTGGTGGGGAACACAGTTATTGTATTTGAGTTTATATGTTTCATGTACAGCAGTGGTTCTTAACCTTTGTTACTCGGATGCTTTTGAACTGCAATTCCCAGAAACCCCAGTCAGGACAGCTGGTGGTGAAGGCTTCTGGGAGTTGCAGTCCAAAACTCCTGAGTAACCCAAGGTTAAGAACCAGTGATGTACAGTATATGTTTTTATGTTATAGAAAATAAAAAATATTTTTTAAAAAAGATCCATTTCCAAGGCCTTCAGATCCCGCTTGCAGATATCCTTGTATCGCAGCTGTGGTCTCCCTCTGGGGCGATTTCCCTGCACTAATCCTCCATACAGGAAATCTTTTGGAATCCGACCATCAGCCATTCTCACAACATG